TCAGGACTGTAGCTACCAACAAAAAGTAATTTAACTTTTTGCTGATGTAAATCCTATTTACCTCTAAATTAAACGGAGTGTGCCCAAGTCTTTGGGAGGCTTGGGTGCGAGAGTCTACAAAGAAGTTGTGACTTTAACTCATGACGGTGTAAAACCATAGGAGTACTTCTGAAGCTGCTCTCTGGGCTGGTTTAGGTCTGTGAATCTACATTTTAAGGCTGTAGCACAGCTCCCGAGAGCTGCAACGACTAGGTCCACAATTTAGAGCTGTTAGTGAAGGTCCAGGTTATAGCTTTACTGATCAAGAGAATAAGTGCTCTTTGTTTGCAGAGGGAAGTGCGTGCTGTCTGTAGAAAGACGAAGTATTAAAACTGATCAGGCTTTATGGGGCTGAGGGCCTGAGGCCTGTCCTTGCCAGCCTGTTCCCTGGTTCATCTCATCAGGGGGAGCTGGGTCTGTTACTCCTTCCTCGGCAGCGTGGACCCTGCTGCAGTAAGGCTTTTGAAGTTTGTTCTTATTCATCATGTTAATGTGTTGGGAAATCAGGTTGACGCTCCACGCTGTGCTAATCTGGGCTAGTGGAGTCCGTGTGTTGTTCTGGTGGGTCCCGTACTTGCTGCTGCTGCTCCTGCTCTTGGAAGTTGCTTGTGAACCTGGGTCCTAAAGCTGGCTTGCCAGTTCTGGGTGGGGGCAAGGTAGCAGGAGCTTCCTGCTAGCCGTGGCTAGCTGCCCGTTCAGTGTTAGGTGCAGCAAAACCACTCGGTAACTTCAGGGGTTGCTTTGCCAAGAAATTCATGTAATGCTGTCGGCTATTTAACAAGATAAATACTTCACTGGGGCTTTTGTCTTGGGTATTTTGAATCAAAGCCAACAAATCCCCAGTGAAATGGTTTCTTGCATAGCTGAGAGCAAAAGCAGTTGTCTTGGGTAACTGGATTCTTCAGGATTGGGTTTCTAAGTGTTGCCAGCTTTCGGAGTGGTCCTTGCTACTGGGTGAACACAGGGCAAAAATATTGGATCCTGAACTTCTGACACCTTAAACTAGGAGCTTCCCTGTGCTGGGGAGTCTTGTGAAGCAATTGTCTCCTGCAGGGGTTAATGTGGGGGTCTGATAGTAATTGCCGTGGAGCCTGGAGTCCCTGTACTGGGCTGGCTTGTTTGAAATGTGCTGTTCTCGAGCATCCTAACGGCTCTGGAGAACTGCCTTGCTCTTGGGTAGGCTGGGAGTGCAGCAGCGCGCGCATGTGCTTTCTCACATAGGGCATTCAGATTCTTGAATTCGATATTCATGGGAGCGCAGAAGCCCCTAAACAAATCCTGGCAAACAGGTGAGGTGTCGAGGGGAGCATAAACTGCAGAAGTGATAGACCTAGAGTTCTTGGCTGTTGGACAGCATCAGGCACTGAAACTTGTCTTTGATCTCAAAGCAAACAGGAGACTATTCCAAGAGCTTACAATAAAAAAAAGGTACTTTTGCCTGTGTGATGCAGAGCTCCTGCATGTGCTCCCGTAAGCAGGGGGTGGGTAGGGCAAGCAAACCAGCACGTGCCTTTTCATGGATCCTTTGACATCACAAGCTGCTGAGTTTCACTAGTTACAAGAAGCTAGTAGGAAAACTAATACTTGCTAATCTTGATTAGAAGAGTACCCTATCACACCCGTCTTTCTCATGATCTTGACTTCTTGAATTAGCATGGCAAGCTGCATGTCAGCTGCTTTCACTTGTCTGCACAGCATTGCTGTAGTTATTTTGGTCTGGCTGACCCAGGGCTCGAGTGCCTGTGTTCTCACGGGGAGCAGGGAGGGACGCTTGCCCCGTCCCCTCTGCTGGACGAGGGGCTAAGCAGCTCCCTGAGCGTCAGAAATGGCTTCATACAGCAGGAAGCTCTCCGTTTCTCAAACCGATAATCCCTGATCGGCGGGGGCTGATTAGCGCAGATCCAGGCTGGGTAGTTTAGCTGGCTGTTACTTCTGTGTTCCGCAGAGTGGAGTTCTGTTTGACAGGAGTGTAGAAATGGTCAAAGATGTTGGCATTAGCAAAAAGTGCCACAGTGATCCTCCTGCAATGGAGGGTTCTCACTGTCTTCAGCTTTGGTAGTTGCTCACTTCAATTATTTGCTCATCCCGTGAATGTCGGCAGAAATACTAAGCTGGTCATTCCGATCTCGTGTGTGTTCTTAGCCCGAGACCCGTAGTGAGGTGGCTGCAGTTAGGGTCATCTGAACTGCATAAATTCCACCCAAACATCCTGAAGGTCTGGCAGCTTCTCAGGTGGACCTGAAGTCACGTAATCCTGCAGCCAAACTTCACACCATCTTTAGATGATGATCAGGTTGTCCATAATTAAAAGTGGTCACAGACTCTAGCTGCTTGACTACTTGCTCTGGTCAGTAGCTCTCCATGATGAGTTGGACATACAGACATGCTTGCTTAATTCTGTTTGGGTTCATGGAGCACAACCAGATGGCAAAATGAATCGAGATCTGTGAAATATAGGTCATGCTGAGACTTGAGGGTGTCAACAGGCTCGTTTCCTTGTTTTGCTCTGGGAATCACCCCTATCATATTTCAGGAGGTCATAACTCGGTAGAGGCATGATTCACGTGGCATTTAATGTGCAGAATGTTAGTCTGAAACAGCGACAGGGCTTACGTATTGCTGATAGACCGCCCTGGTAAATGAATACAAGGTTAAACAAGCAAAAGCTGTTCCCTTGCAAGCTCTGGTTAGAGGAGAAACTCTAAAAGGTGGAAACTTTTTCAGGCTGGTAGAGATGTAGAGCTGCTGATGTGCCTCTCGAACCTGGTGGCAACCAAGCTGCTCCTGGCCAGAGCTGCAAAATGCTGCTTCCTCACTGTCCAGCAAAACAAGCTGTTAATTTGCTTCCTATCAAGCCTTCTCATCCTGGCAAAACAGCGTTTGTCCTTCCTCGGAAGAGGAGGGGGTTCCTGACAGTGTTACTAGCCTTTGCAAGGACCCGGCTCTGAATTGCAATTTCTTCACTGACTTAACCCAAGACTGGGCAGGCCGCTCAAAGCAATGGCTCCTTCACAGCTTGGGCTACTGAAGCGTCTCACTGCATTGAGAAGTTACTCCTCGTGGTTTCTCTCCTACCTGCTAGCTTCAGTGAATGGTACTGGCTTAACGGTGGGCTTCTGACTTGCCTCCTGGTCAAAACAATTTGAGGTTGCACGTCTCTGGGTCAGAGTACGCTCAAGTGCTGTTGTGTTTGGAAAGCTGAAGAGGTTCTCCAGCCGATGGCACTGACGGGCTCCGGATGAGCTCCCAGACTGAAATGGCTGTAGTCTTCCTATCAAGCTGTGGAACTGAGCTGGAACTTGAGACATAGTTAAAGCAGCCTCACAGCAGTCACAGCGGGACAGGCTTTGCTCTGGAAGGCAGGTATTTGGAACTCTTCTTTGGTAAGCCTCTGTACTGGGGCAGGCCTGAGCCTTGTTCACAGGACACTGCTCCAGGTCAGGCCCATTTCAACTTGCTTTAAGCTTCTCAGTCATAGGAATCTGGTATTTGCTGGGCAAATGCTGGGTGTACTCAGAGCATACCCCGAGTTTCCTTGGGGGTACACTCAGAACAAGGAGAAATTGGCTTTCGGGGGATTTTTTTTTTGCAGTTGTCTGTCAACAGAAGCTTGGGTTCTGAGAGTTGAAGGGAAAGTGGCGATACAGAGCAGATGCGATCAGTTGTAGCATTTATCATTGACAGAAGTGGGAGTCGTGATGAGAACAGGAAATATGCCTAAATCTGTGTAACTGCACTTGGAAAGTATTCCTGTTCTCTGCTGCGTGCAGTGGAGAAGCAGTCAGGAAGGCACTGAGACTTCACCTGTGGTTAACTATGGATGTAACAGCTTGTCTTGCTGCTCTGGCCATGGTTTTGTGCCTCTGCACGACTCTGGAGATCTGGTGCTGTTGAATTGAGTGCGGGGGAGATGGGATGGCCGTTCTGATTGGGGTGATGCTACCTGTTGGTGCTGTTCAGCATAGCTGGATTTGAACAGTCTTCTCATGACGAATGTGGCCGGTAGCCTGATGACCTGGAATGATGTGGGATGGGGCAGTGAGGCAGCTGGGACGGGGTGTGGGAAGAGGGAAGCATTAGGTGTTGCCTCTGCATTTGGATCAAGCTGTCGACTCTCGTTCGGTGGTGAGTACCTGTTTGCAGCAGGGGTGGGGAGTAGTTGCTTTCAGTCTCTGAATCCCCAGCCTGTGCCCAGAGTGGCTGCTGCCAAACGACGTCCCTCCCGTGGCAGGGCTTGTGTGGCAATTCAAAGGCCTTCTTCAGGACTGCTCTAAGGTGCTGTATTTAATGGCTTGGTGTGAGAGCTGCGAAAGTACCAGACTGAGGATAGAAACTCCCTTTGTCTGCATGCCTTGTGATCCGAAGGGCTGACAGACAGGACTGCTTCCCGCAATGGCTTACGTGGGGCATGGGAGCATCTCAGTACTGCATTGGTAGGCTGAAGCTGCTACCTTGTGAACTTGGGAGAAGAGGAGGGACCTAAAGATCAACCTCAATTACCTCCATGAACTGAGTAATTGTTGTTTTAATAGATGAAGCTCTAATGACACCAACTGGTGTGCTGGCTGTCCTTTGCTTGCCTCACCCTAGCAAGGTGTGTGTAACATCCACACATAGTGGAAGTGCTGGAGGGCCCACTGGTAGGGAGGAAAGCTTGTGTTACCAATATTCCTTCTCCAAGGAGGCTCAGAAGACTTAAGATCCTGCCGAAGGAGCTGGTGACTGGCAGAAGCTGCTCAGTGGTGCATGCAGTTGAAAACTTCCCGCCATGGGAAGGAATCACCACCTGCCTGTGCTGATGGTGCTTGCAGATCAAACCCACCCTCTAGAACTGGTATGGCTGGTCCACGAGCGTGTCACTAACTCTGACCTCTTCTTCCAGTTGCAACCTGCCTCCAGGTGGATCCCAGTGCAGAATCTGCAGCATCCTTAACTCTCGGCACTCCTGCACTTAGGCCACAATGGCAGGTCGAGGTGGAGCTGCTCGACCGAATGGACCAGCTGCTGGAAACAAAATCTGCCAGTTTAAACTTGTGCTCTTGGGAGAGTCGGCAGTGGGGAAGTCCAGCCTCGTCCTGCGCTTCGTGAAGGGGCAGTTCCACGAGTACCAGGAGAGCACAATTGGAGGTGAGCGCCAACAAATGCCTGTGGCTAGAAGATGCTGGCCTCGCTAACGCAGTCCAGGGGTACCAGAAGTATTAATGGCTGTTTCAATCCAGTCGGGGGGGTTTGCTGTAGATAGGCAAGCAGCTAATGCTTGGTAACTCTTGGTTTACAACTTGTTTGTCGGTGTGAAGATCAGCGCAGCAGAGAAGAATGCTATGGCAACTGTGTGCTCTGCCTCTAAGGCGTCTTCACTTCCAGTGCTTGAATTCCTGCTTCTAATTAGAACTGAGGCCTTCAGCTTGGTTTATAGCCCTTAATTATCTCTTCAGACCATGACCTGGGCTTTGGGGGTTTTCCTAACCTGATGCTGTTAACTACTTCCACAGCTCGTTCAAGTCTAGTAGTTCTTTAGCTTGAAATCATTAGCACGGTGTCACCAACCAGGTTGGTCAGCACCTGGGTCTGGGCAGTAATGTTAGGAGGTGTGTGCTGAGAAGAGGCTTGATTTATCCCTATAGTAACCCAGGCAGGGAGTAAGTATGGCTGTAAGTATAGCTTATGGGCAAGCAGGGCTTAATGCTCTGTTGCAGAGGGCCATGTGGGCACTCTGCCCTTCTGCTTCAATCTGTATCCAAGGCTGGTTGCCTTTATCCTAGTTGTAACGCATGGTATTATACTTGCTGGAACAAGAAAATAACCAGTTACTAAATTGGGGAGTGCAGTGTAACTGGGCTGACTTCAGTGCTTTGGCACTGTGGTGCGCTTCAAAGCTGATGCCAGCGCCGCTGCAGCTGTGCTGCGCGATCTGCGAGAGGAGGCTGGGGAGGCGACGGGCAGCGCTGCTGCGCCGGGGGCTGGCTGCTGCCCGGCTCTCGGGGCCGCCTTCCCGTCAGCTCCGTGTGGCTCTTGGGTTCCTGTGTGCAAGGACCTTGGTACAGCAGAGCTGCAACTTCCACAGCAAGTGGCACTGCGCTGGCCTCTCTGCCTGGGGCTTCTGCTCACTCCCGTGCAAAAGCAGAACTGCTCCTGGCTCTTGCTGCAGGGGCTCTCCAGCTGGAGGTAGGGCAAACGTGCGCCTTCTCTTTCAGCTGCCTTCCTAACACAGACAGTCTGTCTGGATGACACAACGGTGAAGTTTGAAATATGGGATACAGCAGGACAAGAGCGGTATCACAGCCTGGCACCCATGTATTACCGAGGGGCGCAGGCGGCCATTGTTGTCTACGACATCACTAACACAGTGAGTACTGCGCAGGGCTGCGAGGGCTTGCTGGGGAGGAGGTGGCTGCGCTTGCAGCCGATCTTCGCGGTTCCCTGGGAGAGTGCCTGGGTTCAGAGTCCCTGCAGATGCCTGCCTGCAGGCACTGAGTTTCTTGAAAACTGCTAATGGCCTCTTCCTCAGTTCTGACCAAGGCTGTCTAAGCTGATAAAGGATCCTGCTACAAAGTGCTGTAGAGGCAGAACACTTAAACAAAAGACTTGTTCTAATCATATCTTCGCTGTGGATTAATAAGAGGCTGCCCTTCCTGACTGCTGCCTCCTGTTTGCTTCCAGGACACATTTGTACGAGCCAAGAACTGGGTGAAAGAGTTGCAGAGGCAGGCTAGCCCCAATATTGTAATTGCACTAGCAGGAAACAAGGCAGACCTTGCTACCAAGAGAGCTGTGGACTTCCAGGTGAGTGGGAATCCAGATCAGTGGTTGCCTGAGCAAGTCAGGAAAGAAGCTTTCCGCTTAAGTGGGGGAGATGGTGGCTGTGCAAAATGCTTTGAGGGAGAGTGGAAGTCCAGATTTAAGCTGCTGAGGACCCCAGGATGCCACTCGAAGGGAGCTGCAGCCTGCCTTTCCCATCCACTCCTTCCACAGCACTTGCAGCTCTGGTTGGTAACAGTTACGATGAATGTGGAGAATAGGGCCCACAGAGCACAAGCTTCTGTCTGCACTCTCTGGTGCCTTACTCGGCTGGGGCTGTCTTCAGCAGCGTACGAAACAGCACCTTTTAGATACAAGACACTGAAGCATCATTCCCAGCTTGTTCTCTACTCTTCACAGCTCTTACCTTGTCTAAGGCAGACTTTCAAGGAGAAGCTCTTATCTCAGACCTCTGCCCAGGATCGCTTGTGGTGCATTTACAGGGTGTATTACTCTCCCAGCTAACCAAAGTACAAGGTGGTGTGCTGCTCGGGACAGGCTGTGTCTACATTGGCCTCACAAACAGTCCGTGCTGCTGTACCCCAGCTGGGACACCAGCCACGCGGTGCGGTCGGTGGTGCACGTCTCCCAGCTGTCCTGGCCAGGCAGGGGGAAGGGACTGGGTGGAATGTCTGGCCTGGGGTGGGACAGGGTTCCTTTGGTGTTTGGTTTGCCGACAAGTGAAGCGTGTGAAGCCTGCTTGGGCCTCCTCTTGGCAGGATGCCTTTACCACTCATGTGATTGTTTGTAGGATGCACAAACATATGCAGATGACAACAGCTTGCTGTTCATGGAGACGTCGGCAAAGACAGCGATGAATGTGAATGAAATCTTCATGGCAATAGGTAACAGCTTGCGTGCAGAAGGACGGCTGGAGTAGCTCTGAGCACCAGCAGCGCAGCCCACTGGAAACCACGGGAGCTCCTGTGTCAGTCAGGGTCTGGAGGCTCTTACTGGAGCAGAGACCAGTTTGCTGTTCTGTGAACGGTCGCTGCCTGAGTGTTCGGAGCCTTTGCCTTGCAAAGCCTGTTCCCTCTCCTTTTACCGGGGGTGGTGAGGAAGGAAGGAGCAGGATCGATGACAGCCAGAACTAGGAGTGGGGTGGTTTGCTGTCCTCGTGCTGCTACCAGTGTCCAATCCCAGACTCCTGAAGAGGCGAGGGCTTGGCCGGAGCAGGGCCGAGCCTGGCCTGTGGTCTGCAGCGGGGAGGGGGCTGGCCTCTGCAGGGAGCCTACTAACGCCTTCTTTCTTTCTAGCCAAGAAACTGCCAAAAAATGAACCCCAGAATGCTCCTGGTGGCCCAGGTAGGAATCGGGTGGTTGACCTTCAGGAGAGCAGTCAGCCCAGCAGGAGCCAGTGCTGCAGCAATTGAGCAGCCGTTCCTGCCCGACGGAGCCCTCGAATGACGTGACTGGAATCCACGCTAACAATCGCACTTACCGTAGAGCGGCTGCTGCCGGTGGCTGCTGTGATTTCTCCATCCCTTTCTGATCATAGGCTGGAGGGAGTTCTTCCACCTGCACCTTTCTGTACAAATACTAATTCAATTCTAAGTCTTAAGTCACTTTTTTAATATATGAACTTCTGCTCTTCCCTCTTCCTGGTGGTGGTGGATGCGTGACCTGGTGCCGGCCCAGCCCTTCCCACGGGCGAGGGCCGCAGCACCCAGGTCCCACAGTACTGCAGGTCACTGTTGGAAACAAAGGGAGATTGAGACTAGGCAACCTTGTTTAAAATTACCCGTATGTAAAAGCTGAGGCTAATACAGTACGATATGCCTAGAACAACCACTAAACTGTAGCATTATAGTGACAAACTCTGGCTTTTCAGCCACTTGTTGACCAAATCAATTACGAGTATTCTGGGGTGGGGCAGAGGGAAGCAAAACTGGTTTCTTCTGTATTTTGTATTGTATGTTTCTCCATGTAACCAATCAGTATCTTGTCAATATAGTACATACAACTAGCTGCCTGTTGTCTTTATTTGTGTTGGACTCTAGCATGCCAACTCTTTTTTTTTTCTATCTCCAGTTCTGTCGTAATGCACTAATCCCGTTGCAACTTTTTGCAAGAATCTTGTATAGAAAATTGTCCTTTTTTTGATGGTTGTGATGCCACTAATGTTGTTAACCCTACTCTAGTGTGAATACACATGGTTTACTGATGTACAGAGGTGGGGTGGGGGAAACCTCGGATAACTTGTCAGTGGAAACAATATGTATTACGAAAGCCTGTAATTCCACAAAGTATGAAGGGAGGTATTAAATGGCTTCTGTTGCCAGACTCTAACCGATGTTGGCTGCTGCCTAGTGCCTAATGCAATGTCTTATGCATACTGGTATTTAAGAGGAACTGTCAACCTAGTCTTCATCACAAACTTCAGTTTTGTGTGATTAAAAAAAAAATTTTTATAAACCTATCATAATCAGCAATGTTCATGTTTCTTAATCAGCTCAAACCAGAAGGGGAGCGGACCAGAGCGTAACAGTTGTGCTGGAGGCCGAGATGTGCTAGGCTGCTGGTGGTGCATACAGCACCCGGCTCCTCTGGAGCGCGGCGTGACCGTCCTTAACCCGGGCAGGGAGGCAGGAGGGCGGCGTGGCTGTCCTTAACCCGGGCAGGAGGGCGGCGTGGCCTCAGACCTCTGCGTGCTGCCCCAGCCCGTGCGCTGCCAGCTGCTCCTGCAGCCGCCGGCTCCCTCGAGAGGCAGGAGCTCCTTAAAGAGGCTGCAGGAGGTTCGGGAAGCTCGTGGTGCGCTGTGCAGCGGTGTGCAAGGAAGTTTGAGGTAAACAGTGGGGAATTTTTAATTGCCTAATATTTCTAGGGAAACTACAGCTCAAATTGGGAAGGGGGGGGGGGCAGTATGCAGAGGAGCTCAGCTGGACAGGCTTAGGAATACTGTGCTCAAGGGTTAACGAACAAGATGGCTCTGTCCCTGGAGGATGGTGGCCTTGAAAGATGCTGCTCTGCTGTCACTGCTGCAGGGACTTGGATCGTTACACCCGTGGGTGAGACCTGGAGTCAATGTGGAAACCAGAGCATCCCCTTGCAGCAGCGTGTGCTGCTGGGCCAGCACCGCATGTGCTCGGGAGAGCTTGAAGGCGGTGACGTGCTGGCGGTCAACTGTGAGGCCAGCCCTGGGCTGGGCTTGCCCTTGCCTTGCAGCACTGGGGCTCTCGAAGCTCTGCTGGGTCTGCGTGAGCAGCCTCGGCGCATGTGGGCTTCATCCTCTCTCCAAGGTCTTGGTGCCTTTTGCTCGTGCTGGGTTTCCACAGAACCCTGGAAGCAGGAGGGCTCTGGAGTGACTCAGTGACCAAGTTCCCGATGTCTGCCTGGAGCAAGGCCGCCTGCGGTGCCCGGGCTGCAGCAGCCTCACACGGCCTTCGCTCGCCTGCTTGTCTCCATCCCCCGCAAGGGCGCGTGACTGCTCATCTGCCGGAGGAGCTCAGCCCCTCCGCGGGGCGGCTGAGGCCTCGTCGCTTCCAGCGTGGTTTGGAGCGGTGCTGCGCATTTCCCGGGCAGCAAGAGAGGGACCTGGTGGAGAAGGGCTTCCCCAATCCCAACTCCAACAATCCGTGAGCACAAAGCGAAGTGCTGTTGCCATCTGCTGGCATCTTGTCCTTGGTTCCTGCTTGACGGGGCTTCATTTCTAGCTCTTTCCAGGACTCTGGGTCTCCATCTCTGTGAAGGAGCCAGCCGTGCCCTAAAGGGCATCTTGCTGCTGCCCCAGCTGCGAGGGACTCGGTGTCAGGGCTGGGGACCTGCCCCTGGCTGCAGAACCATGCGGCAGCGCCCTGCGGAGCAGGGCCTCCTCCCCGCCGGCACAGGACGGGGAAGGAGCAGCTGTAGCACAAACAGGCGTGCCTGCCTGCATACCTGCTGCCTGCCCAGGCCTGAGCACGGGTGTTCGTGGTGGTTACGGGCAGCGCCTGGAAATGGGCTTTGCCCGCCCTGCTGCTGGGATCTGGGGGTGCTCCAGGAGCCCCTTCCCAAGCTGCCTGGGGGGAAAAAGCGTGGCTGCACCCAGCCGGGCCCTCCCGCATGGTTGTCTTCCCATTCGTTGGCGTCGGCCAGGGAGAGAGGGGCTGCGGAGCTGGTGCAGGTGCTGGCGGCAGCGTGGGAGGGGGCGAAGGCAGCCTGCCTGCTCCCCGGGGAGCCACCGCTGCCCCAGTACGGGTGAGCGGGGCTGCCCCTCCTGCTACCCCCACCCTGAGCAGCACCGTGCTCGCAGATCCCTTCCCTCCCTCTGGGTCCGCTGTCAGCCCCATTTTGTGCTGCCCTGAAGCACCAAGAGAGGTTCTTCCCTCTGTGCATCCAGCTCCTTCGGCATCAAGAGCTGAGACCAGGGCCCAGCCTCCCCATCAATCAACACCAAGAGAGCACAAGCAGGTTCTATGCAAAAGAATTTTTATTGGATACAAAAACATTCCAGTATAGTGAAAAAAATGACATTATTGCTGATGGAGCTTGTCTGGGCTAAAGCCCGAGACATGCTGCTGTCTCCTCCGGTCCTGCCGCGGGCCATCGGTTCCTCTCCTGTTACGCCTGGGCTTTGTTGGTGGCTCCGTCCTCGGAGGCTGGTCCGGGCTGTGGTGCCGTGGGGCTGACCTGGATGGGCACGTTCCTCTCCGGGGCGGCCAGCAGGGCCAGCCTGGGGGCCTCGATGCGGAGCTGCCCCTCCTTGGACAGGGAGCACGTCAGCGCCTCGGCGTCCACCTCCTCGGGCACGTCCCACTCCCGCTTCAGCACCTCGTACTTGTAGGAGAAGGAGCCCTTCTCGTCCGTGCTCTGCGTCTCCTTCTGCCCCACCAGCACCACCTTCCTGCCCACCACCTTCACCGACAGCTGCTCGGGAGCGAAGTTCTTGACGTCCTGGCAGACGGAGAAGCCCTCCCCGGGGCCCTGGGTCAGGGCTGCGCTGGTGCTCGGGGCTCGCTCCATGGCGGTGGCTCCTTGGCTGCTCAGGAGCTGCTCGAAGCTGCTCATGAACTCCCGAGCTTTCTCCATCTCCTGCTGCAGCTCTGTGAAGATGGTCTCTGCGTGTGGCCAGAGGGTCCTCACCGTGCCCAGCCGGGTGGCCAGGGAGCTGGAGGCGAATGGTGCGAGGTGCATCCGGCAAAGCATTGCTGCTGGTGCTGGTTCTGGTGTTGCTGCTGCTGCTGTTGTCCCCTCTCCAGTGAGCTGGGAGTGTTCTGCCCGGTGCTGCCGCCCGCGGCTTTTATTCCCCTTCCCGGGAGGAGTGGCCTCATCCTGCACATCACGTCATCCTTGGGAGAAGAGCTCAGCCCTTTCCAGCCCGTTCCAGTTCATTCTTGTTACTCATCGACGAGGAGAGGCGCCCCTTACGTCATGCCCGGCATACCTTCGCCCTTAGTCTTGCAGCTCTGCTCTCCTGGCTTATAATTAGCAGCATCACCTCAGCCTCCGAAGAGGGTGCCTGAGCCGCCCCTGCCAAAAATCCGTCATCTGTCCCCTTCCCAGGCACGGAGTGGGGCTGGGCTCCTCTCCTCCCTGCCTCCCCCCCGCCGGCGGGCAGGAGAGCCCCTCCCCCCCCACCCTGCTTGCAGGACCCCCCGCTGCGACCAGCAAGCAGCCCGCGGGCCCTCCCCAGCCGGGGTGCACAGGCTGGGTGCCGAGGGGCCGGGACAGGACGGCGGGCGGCCCCCGGGGGTGGGGGGGGTCTAGAAAGTGCGAGAGGCGCCCGGCAGCGGGTGATGTAGGAACACGTTGCTGTAGGGGTGGGACCGTCCCCGTGCTGGCCGACGCGATGCGACGCGCTCCTGGCGCAGCGTAACCCGCGCTCCACCGAGCCCCGCAGCGCGGGGGCTGCGGGAAGGGCTGTGCTCGCCCCCGGCCCGCGGTGCCGCTGGCCTCGCTGCATCACGGTGGCTCTGCAGAAACCCGAGCTCCGGGCGCTGACTGCAGCTCCCTATTTGCGGCGTGTGACTCGCCCCAGAAGCAGGCGCTGCTATTTTGGCTGACGGATAATCAGCCTCTCAAAAATAGGTGATGGCTCCAAGAGGGTGCGTGGGGAGAGAGTGTTCTAGAACGGGCACACCCCTGGGCAGGGGAGGATAAAACCTGCCGCTGCCCGGCCCCAGCCCAGCACCGCTCCAGCCCCTGCACAGAGCTGAGCCACAGCACGCGCCGGGAGCACGCACCGGGAGCAGAGATGCTTTGCCGCCTGCACTTCATGCCGCCCACGTCCAGCTCGCTGTTCCCGTGGCTGGGACCCATCCGCACCCTTTGGCCGCATCCAGGCACCCTCTTTGCCGAGCTGGAGCGAGAGCTGCGGCTGGAGATGGAGAGGGCTCGGGAGTTCATGAGCAGCTTCGAGCAGCTCCTGAGCAGCGGGACAGGCCCCAGCCGGATCGGCGTCGCCGCGGAGCGAGCCCCGAGCACCAGCGCAGCCCTGACCCAGGGCCCCGGGGAGGGCTTCTCCGTCTGCCAGGACGTGAAGGACTTTGCTCCCGAGCAGCTGTCGGTGAAGGTGGTGGGCAGGAAGGTGGTGCTGGTGGGGCAGAAGGAGACGCAGAGCACGGACGAGAAGGGCTCCTTCTCCTACAAGTACGAGGTGCTGAAGCGGGAGTGGGACGTGCCCGAGGAGGTGGACGCCGAGGCGCTGACGTGCTCCCTGTCCAAGGAGGGGCAGCTCCGCATCGAGGCCCCCAGGCTGGCCCTGCCGGCCGCCCCGGAGAGGAACGTGCCCATCCAGATGGGGCCAGCAGTGGCGCAGCCAACGGCCAGCACCGACGACGGAACCGAGCGGGCCAAGGCATGACGGGGAGCGGCGCGGGGCTGGGCTGAGCCCAGCTGCTGGGGCAGCCGCTGGTCACAGGGCAGGACGGTGCCGGGGGCTGCGTGACAGCCCGGTGGGAGGGTCTCTGCCCAAAACATGTAGCTTTTTTGATATGTAATAAATATTCCTGACTTTTATTTGTGCGGGTTCTGTGTTTGCTGGTCTCGCCTGGCTCCGCGCTTTGCAGCGCTCCTGGCCGTGCCCACGCAGCGGGCCGGCAGCCCGGGGAGCCGGGCGGTGCTGGCACAGGGCACCCCCGGCCCCGCTCCCCGGCTCTGCCTCGGCAGAGGCGGCCGTTTGGGGGGCTCCGCCGCAGGGCCGGGGCTGAGCGCGGCCCGGGGCCCC